CCTTTTCCAACCCCTCCCCCCCCACTTGACAGCCCACTGACAGTGTTGGATTTATGCACCAACTTACCAGCTCGCGCCTGCAATGCACAGCTACCCACCCCCTCCCCCAAATCATCGGTGTACGAAACTGCGGCAGCTACAACCACTGTACGTCAATTACGCGGTTATTACAGTTGACAATGATGATGAGTGTGATAGATGAGGTCAATGTACACATCTGCAAGGCCCGGGTCTGGTTTGCTAACTTAAGACGACTATGGCATCAAAGCTCTATATCCCTGAGTCAGGCTGCAGTGCGGGCTATTTTGTTGTATAGATGCGAGACTTGGCCTGTTCGAGCAGCCGAACTGAGAATTCTTTAGTTGTTCGACAATCTTTGTCTCTGGACTACAGCTTGTGCGGAGAATGCATAACGAGGTAAGCAGGGAGCGAACGTCCGGTTGTGCAAAGGGAACTTCCACTGAGGAATGTGTCCAGTACCAGAAGCTGTGTTGGTTAGGACACATATTGCGCACACCGAACCATCGTTTGCCGAAAACAGTGGTTTTCCGTGCCCAATTCAGAGTGGCGGAAGCAGAGAGGTGGTCAACCCTTGAGCTAGCAGGGGGAAGTCATGACAGAGATTTGGAAAAGCTGGTGGTCCTCGCCTCCCGGAATGAGGACCACGTGATCCCCACTGTGTCTGGTTGGAGACGCCGCGACATATGACGTCAACGGCATTCTTGTAATCAACTTCTATCCAGGTTACCTGAACGAGTACCTGGAGATGTACAAAATGATTGTGGTAGTCTAGCACCAAGCCCTTTCCTTGTCCATCTCTGTTCTTTTCTTTACAATAAGGCTTTCAATCCATAGTTGTACGGCAGCAAAGCATCGGTGTTGCCCACTAATGTTATGCTGTCCTCGAGGATGATGAAAAGCAGGAAATTCGCCAGTAAAATCGAGGTACTTACTAAACAAGATGGAAGAACATCGGCCCTTCAGGGACAGAATCACATCTTGCCCCGACACCGTTGCGGGAAAATAAGCATCAAAACACAACAGCGTCCAAAGTGGAGAATAGGCGACCACATCTGGTCTCCCTTTTGAGGCATAGCTACTGAGCAACTCGGAAGCACAAGGATTACACAAGGCAGAAAATTCCGACCATCACCAAATTCTATTCTTGGCAGTAAAATTTGAAGAGCTCGACTTGATGTCTCGCGCTTAAAAAATCAACAGATCCCACTAAAGCCATGAAGAAAGCTCCCAAGGCTGTAAGCTTTGTTGGACGGACACCTTTGTCTCAAACATTCTGTAGGATTCAAAAACCATGGCTGCGTCATTGCCAGTTACTTTGTCAGGATCGAAAACTAAACGGACGGAATATCCCAACCACTCACCAGTAGTTACATCAGGAGCCGTAAGAGAAGCCGTCAATATAAGCAAATATTGCAACATACATCTCGCAAGTCTGTACCCCAACTTTCCAAAAGCACTGCACTTTTAAGCAGTTTGTCGGTCCAGGAGTCTATAACGCTACTCTAATTGAAAGAGAATACACCACCCGGTTTAAAGAACATCGTTGGCAAACAGAGGCAGTGCACTAGTCGGAATATGTGTTCATGAAATATGGAAACAAACAGTAACCAGCCAAATATGGGAGAGTTAGAATAAGATTGCCTTACTACATCACCCGATTGAAGTTATTAAAATGTTCGGTAAGATGTCTCTTGGGATGATAGAGAAGGTATGTCTTTTAACTAGTGTCCAGCTTAGTTTCCGACGCCGCTGTTTCTCGATAACTGAACTCAATGGCAACTGGAGGCCTGAAACCAAACAGCGTATGGTGGTCAACCCGAGCAGGTAAATGCTACGAAAGATAAAAATTCCAGCTGTGACACCGTTTCGGTGCATTGCCACCGTGCAACTCGAAGGAAGCATAGAGGATGAGGCACTGCCGAGTTGCCCAGGCCTAAACATGGGCAGTTGAAAAGCCTGTATTGGGTTCGGAACGGAGATCATCATCATCAAAGACAGCAACAAGTCGACAGTCACGCGCTTCAATAACTGGGCTGCCAAGAGCTTTTCAGTTCGCGGACTGCGGGGATTTAGAGTATGGAGGTAAATCCCGGCCTAAACCTGTCACTCTGTCGTAGAGGTCCACGCGCAGTGCTCCGACGATCACGAGAACTAAGATCCTCAAAGTTCAAACATGCCAGACCAACAAACAGCGGACCCGGTGCTGCGACATATCGCATTACGAGGCTGTTTCTCGTAGTGTGAAGACAATAAGGTACTTCCTTCAGGCGGTCAGCATGCCCGTACCTAAAGAGTCGAGTTGGAAAAGTCTGAAAATTGAGCACTCCGTTCACTCAACGGTTGGACGTGACGCCGACGGAAGTCAGCAATGGTTACTGAGTGTCAGAAGTGGCCAATGGCGCAGTCAGTGACGCTCGCAAGTAAAACCTATCGCCTTCAATGCGTAGCTACCCAGTTCCCGAGCTAACTGATCATACCTCGGTATCAACTTTTTGGTTGCGCCTCTCAAGCTTTCCCATATTCGTGATCGAACCTGCAGCATCAGGAACGAACTTACGTGACCCATAGCTGATAAACTGAATCAAGCGTAGACAAATCCTGCCATAGAACTTGAGCGATATATATAAATTTCCCGGAAGCTACTATCATTCTGCTGTGGCACCCTTTCGGTGCCACTGCCATGCCAAAAGGAAGCGCGGGGGCTGGAATACTGTCAGGTTGCTCAAGCCTAGACAGGGGAAGTCGAGAGGAAGAGGTCAGATTCGGACCACGAACCTTTCGGTCAGTAAACTGTTCATCTAACAACCATTGAGACAGCTTGATATTTAAACCTCCTCACCACTTAGCTAAGCATACGTGCTTCCTACAGATTTTAGAACAGGGTATGCTGGTTAATGATTACCCTGATATACTGGTTAGCTGATACCAGGTCCCTGTCATCATCGACAGCATGACATCAGTGTTCAACACCGATGGTCCCTGTAACCACCAATAAAGCCCAATCGTGTTCAGAAGCAGCACGCCCGTCATGAATTCAGTTGCTGCACTTAAATGCAGCGTCAGGGAAAAGGTCCAACGTCGTAGTCCACCAGCGGACTTCAACCGTGGTCTACCCACGGCACTCGTTAAGCACACGCCGATTAATTTACCTGGATAAATCCGACGAACAAACCCTCGACGCTGTCATCGGAGTGGCTATACGCACACAACAGGAACGCAGTCAGGGGCTGGAGCGTGACACCAGTAACAAAACTGGGCTGCAGAAAGACGTCCACTATCATCTGCCTAATCCTGTCTACAGTATAAACCTCGAAATTGCGAGCTTAAGACGTCGACTTGATCACCGGGTCGCATCATAAACTATTCGCCCTGCCTGAGGATGCCGCGTAGATGATCGTACTTACCGCCATCGCTACTTCTCCGTGAATTCACTGACTGGATTTCTCAAATTAAACACAGCTTTCCTCTAGATACCCTGAAAATTATTGAACGATAATTGCACGACGAACGCTACCTCTGCGGGTGGATTCCTACTTTACTTGATAGTTTGCTAATCGACTAACGAGTTGCCTCGTAGGTCCGCAAAGATGTACTTTCCGCTCGCCTTGTCACGACGTCCGAACACAATTTACCATCAAAAATCACGCACGCTGGAACGGTTACAGCTCTCTCTATCTTTAGTCCACGCTGCCGTACCAACTGCAGCTCTTGGAAATCTATGGAGAATCGAGCTACATGAAAAACAGTGCAGACTTCCGCAAGCATTTATATTACTATCATGCAGTAAGGACACAAGCTCCGCCTACTGCACGTATTTTTTCTTCCGCGCGCCTTGAAAAGAATCGGGCTTTTACAATCACTGGCACCTTAGGAAGCACACCTTTGCCGAGCACTTTGAAATAGCCCTGGAAGTGTGGGGGTTACAAACAGCTGGAGTTACCTTTTTTACGCAGTCAATGACGGGAGCTTTGCCGTCCCCGTCACTCTTGTACTTTTCATAAGTGTCTTGAGAGACGAGTGACCATATTTTCTCTATATTGATTGCGGGGCAAAAGTATGGATTCTTTTTGTAGTGATAGTGCCGCATTCCGACTTTCCCGATGTATCCAGGGTGGTATTTGTCCATGTTGATACGGTGATGATGTTCTAAGCCAGCATTCCCACGGCCTCCGGGGTGTTTCCTGTGTTTTCCAACGCGGCCGTGCCCATGGCTCACATGTCCACGCAGCTTCCTTGTTTTCTTTGGTTTTATTTTAGACTAGAATTTAGAAGATAACCAACCAAGCGTGAAACTAACCATCCCCTCCGGAGCGTGCTTCCACCCGACTGGGACTGAAGTGGCACAGTTAAACAAAAATGTCCTTTAGGACCTAAGCCTATATCATTCTAACATAACGATCGCGCGAACACTGATCAATTCATTTATAATAACATTCTTGCACCTGGATACGCTGCTGCAAAAATTGCACGGACTGAAGATAGGGCGCGCAATTTTCTTCCACAAATCATAGGAGCGAATCGCGGGCGCGTCTTGTTGTGTATCCCACACTTGGTCCAACTGACCGCTGACTACAACACACAGTGTAAACAGGAGGTGTGATGGCACCTCTTCCTCTGCTGATATTGATCAGGCGTACAAAACCTGGCTCCATAAAGGCTAAAGGAAGCGTCTAACTAGCAGAATTGGTTTCAACTCCGCGCTTATCGAACTGAGGCCCCGGTGTGTCACGGAATCGCGGACTCACTGATACACAGGATCGAGGCCTTTGCCCAAGTTTCCCGGGTCGGTCTTGTTCGTGTCGGTCAGTGGCTGTCGTTCACCTGAAAGGCACAAGTGAAAAAAGGGTGTAACACTGCTCTTTATGTTCTCAGCCCGGGGCAGTATGCTTGCCAGCGCGAGGATTCGCATAAATAA